AAAACTTCATTGATTACTGATAAACACATGTAATTGTATGTGTTTGTATACTGTGTATGTAAACTGAGTCACGAGAGTATCAGACTAAAGAAAGGGCAGAAAGCAAACTCAATAGACCAACAAACTTCTATTTTGGGGAGTAAAAGCCTGAGAGGGACGCCAGAGTCTTCCAGACAGACTAGAGAGACAATGGTGCTCTCTCTTACAATTGACATCTCTTTTTATTAGGCAGAGAGAGTGGAGACAGGCAGGGCAGCATCTGGGGTAGTAGTCATGGACTAGGGGCTTTTTTTTTTTTTTTTGCTGTTTCTTAGACTTGAACTCAGTCACTGGGTACTGACCCTGAGCTCCTTTACTCAAGGCTAGACTTTCTCACTTGAGCCACAGCACCATTTCTAGCTTTTTCTGAGTAGTTTATTGGAGATAAGAGTCTCACAGACTTTCCTGTGTAGGCTGGTTTAGAACTGCAACCCCTCAGATTTTAGCTTCCGAGTAGCTGGCATTATAGGTGTGAACCTCCTGGCTTTTGTGTAGAGATGGAATCTTATCTTGAGTTATTGGGAAAGTTTTTCTTTGTTTCTTTCTTAATAGCATCTGTGCTTAGCAGACAAGAGAACTGAACAATATATCTCTCAATTCACAGGTTATCTCTTTTACAGACCTAGGGTATACTTGAGGAGGGAAAAAAGAAGGGAGTTGATTCACTTAGGTCGGCAGCAAGGGCAGTTCTACGATGTAGCTGTTAGGGGGAAAGGTGAGTGTTTTTAGTTTAAGTCATTTCCTATCATACTCACTCTGCCACATACCTGGGGAGAATTGAATGAGTTAATTAAACACACTAAGCATTAGTTTCCTCATATTAAAAATGAGAATAGTAATACAATTATCTCAGAAGACTGTTTTGAAGCTTGAAAAAAAAACAACACAGATAAAGTCCTGTTATATTCCAAGAACTCCTTTATTATTAAGTTCCAATATCTAAGCCTTGTTATGATTTCTTTAAATGTTCAGACATATTTCCTTTGCCACTCCAACCATTAGATACTCCAGGTATATGTGTGTGTGTGTGTGTGTGTGTGTGTGTGTGTGTGTGTGTGTGTGTGTGTGTATGTGTGTATTCGTGTGTACGTGTGTACATATGTATGTACTAACCTTAAACTCAAGGTCTTGGCGTTCTCCTTTAGCTTTTTCACTCAAGGCTGGTATACTGCCACTTGAGCTGCATTTCTGCTTTTGGCTTTTAACGGATGAACTTTCTGGCCCATGCATCCTCAAATCTCAGTCTCTTGAGTAGGTAGAATTTAAGCCCAAGTTACCAGTGCCTGCCACACAGGGCCTTTAACTCCATTGGTTGATATATGTTGGTTTAGCTTTCTCTTATAACTTGAAATTTGTTTTTTATTTTTCTTTCTTTTTTATTTTATTTTTATTTTGCTGGTCCTGGGGCTTGAACTGGTGCTGGGTGCTGTCCCTGAACTTCTTTTATTCAAGGCAAGTGCTCTACCACTTGAGCCACAATGCTACTTCCAGCTTTTTCTGAGTAGTTTATTGGAGATAAGAGTCTCACAGACTTTCTAGCCCCAGCTGGCTGATCTGATCCTCAGAACTTAGTCTCCTGGAGTTGCTAGGATGACAGGTGTGAACCACCAGCACCTGGCTGTTATTTAATGTTTTTGTTTGTTTGTTTGTTTTAATGTGGTATGGAGGAATTGAACCGAGGGCCTCCTGTATGCTAGGCAAGCACTCTACCACTAAGCCACATTCCCAGCCCTATAATCAGAGATTTCTGAGTTTTTAAGTGTGTGTGTGTGTGTGTGTGTGTGTGTGTGTGTGTGTGTGTGTGTGTGTGTGTGTATGCATGTGTATTTTCTTTCTGGGTTGTCTAAAAGGCTGGGGTAAATTTCAGGACTCCTGAGCAGGACTTTTCTGAGAAGTAATGGGCTTGCCTGTCAGTAGACCACAGTGAAGCATAATGCTCTCCTTCCCCACAATGCCTGGGAGGCAGCCCTGACTGTGTTCCCAGTTGAGTTTACAGTCCTCTCAAAGTCCAGAAAAATGAAAATAGCAGTGGACTACAGATCTCCATATTTCACTAGCCTTTATTCTACCCACTAGCAACTAATGGAGATAAATTTGTCACTACACCGTTTTATGCTTTTCTTCCAGAATTTCCTTTTGAAATAAGGTCTTCTATAGTCCAGAGTCTGAATTGCAAGCGCACTGTCTCATTTCTTCATTATATAAGCTGCTAACAAGTGACTGCTTAGTTCTGGAATAGCTGCTCTAGGCTATTAGCAAGGTGCCTGAGTGATTCTCTGCTCTGCCCCTACACTTTCCCTAACCTCAGCTCCCCAGAGAAGCCCTGCTTAGCCTACCCATCTTAGCTCAGAGTCCAGCACAGAAGATTCATTAGCATCAAAAGGCTCCTCCTCTCCAGGCAACCCTCTACGCAGGGCAAGTACAAGGAGTCAGTTGCCATTAGTGGGAAGAGAAACTTCTTGCAGAAAACGTAGATCCCCTAGATCTGGATGTAGAGACTATGAAGAGACACTGTGGGAAAGTGTCATCTGTGTGAACTTGAAAGCTGAATTGTGTTTAAAGCAAACACTGAGGAGAATGACCTTGAGGATCCTGGGAAATTGAGGAAGAGCAGCGTGATTTGCCCAGTGAGCCAGAAAAGAAAGCAAATGCTTAAGGAATAGTAATTTCTAACCACTGATCTGCTTTATAGAGCCATTCTAAATACAACTTTGAAAACTATTTCAAAGCTCCAATATGTGTAGTAGTATTAACTATGCTCATGAATATCTTCCGAGTTGGCTAAGTACGATGTATGTGTTCCCATTTAATTATCCAGGGAAAAATATTATTCCCCCAAATCCATAAAAAGACATAGCCTGTCAGTTTGTGTGATGGACTATAGTTACTATGCATGAAGGAACATTAGCTTAATTTAGCTCTTAATCCTCCCTTCCCTCCTAAGAGGGCATATCATTCAGTGTGATAAATGCAGATGTGGGAATTCAATCGCTTCTGAAGATTACCTGTTCTCTGCGCAATGATGGTCCTCAGAGGAGTTCCAGAGCTTCAAAAACAATGATACGCATATTTTCAATGATTCTTTTTACTTGTGTGGATTAAAGGTGTTATGGGAGGGCTGAGGATGCTATTTTAAAAGGACTTTTGTTTATCCTTCATGACCATGCAGAAGGTCCTCATAATGTACCACATTTTAAATAACTGCATTAGGCAGCATCTTGGTGGCATAGGGCTTTTTAACATGTTTTTTCTTCTTTTAGTCATCATCTTTGGTTTGAACATGCTCTTCTTCCCCTTGATAATTTACTTCTAGTGTTCTATCAGGTACAGCTGAGTGAAGTTTTCCTCATCCTTCTGCTTCCTGGATAAGGGAGGAGTTTCACTGTAGGGCAGAGAAATTGGCATTTTCTGATATATAGATATAGATATAGAGATCTATATATATCTTACTGGTCATTAAAATATTGTTTCTCAAAGAATTTAAAGGAGTAATTTTATATCAATGACTATAATTGAAAATGTAAAAGGACAAGGTATTCAAAAGAAGGAGCTATTATTTCTGGTTAGGACACCCCTAACCAGTAGGTGACATTTAAGGTTGGCCTCATAAATGGTCTGGTTTGGGCAGGTGAGTTTGTGTTCTGCACAGACAGGGACAGCTTCAGTGGTTTGGAGGGTGATAAACAGGGGAGGCAGAATAAAGGAGTTCCCTACCCTTAATGTCCTTTGTAACATATGATTCAGTGGTTGACATAGAACAAGTATCTATCATGCATTGGAGACTTGCTATTAGGACAAAACAACCACCTTTTATTTATTTATTTTAACCAAGTTGAAAGGCTGTGGCTAAAATATTCAACTTCATGGTAGAACAAAAGATTGTCTCTACCTAGTAGCTCTGGAAAGATATTTTATAGAAGTAGAGGTGCCAGTGGCTTATGCCTGTGATCTTAGCTGCTTAGGAGGCTAAGATCTGAGGATCCCAGTTCAAAACCAACCTTAGGAAAACAAACCCAGATACTCATATCTTCAATTAGTCACCAAAAAGCCGGAAGTAGAGGAATGACTCAAGTGGGAGAGTACTAACCATGAGTAAAAAAAGCCAAGTGAAAGCACTGAGTTCAAGCCCCAGTACTGGTATTTTTTTTTAAGGTATCATGTTTCCTTTACCTCATTTTTTGAGCCTCTTACCAGTTTTGGAAGTGATAGTATATCTGTTTCACCCAGGGAAGAAGAGAAATCATCTCATAAGCCCAATTGAAGTTGGTTTACTTTTAACTTACTGTCTTTTGTCTGGCTCTGTTGTCTCGGACACATCTGCTTTACATCTAATTACAAAAGGTTGCACTGAATTCAGAAATATCCATTATGTTAGTGTTGTGAGCTCTGGAGAGCCAGGAGAGCCAGGGGATACCAGGGCCTCTCTTTCCACTAACAGCTAAAACCCAGGCCTGATTTTGCCTGGAGTGTGGAAACACTGGGACTCTTTCTGGCTCTCCCTTGCCTGCCCAACCCCTAGCATCTACCTTGACTTATCACAGGCCATTGAGTAGCTTGAGTGGCTCCTCAAAATTCCTCTGGCCTTGCAGAGCTTTCTTCCCTAAGGACTTGCCAGACAATTACAGGAACCTCAAAGTATACACAGCTGCTAGCCTTCAAAGTCAGGCTTCTTGGTAAGTATCTGTCCTTGCCCTTGGCCTAATTTCTCATGTTTTGGCTGACAATTCCAAAGATAAAGGCTGAGGTACCTATAGTGTATCATGTGCTACATTCTCCCCTCCCCCTTTCCTGCCTTTGAAACGGTTTCTATCTAATAATTCTATTTAAACCCCAAGATTTATTTTATAGGCATAACAACTATAGCCATTATATGAGGAGTATTCCAGGCTCAAAGCAGAACATGTAAAAATGTCATTTCCCTTGCTATATTTTTTTCTAATACTTCTGTTTTTCTTTTACAGAATTTTGAAAGCGACTTGAATCTAATTGGCTCCCCCAGGATTTCAAACTTCTGTTACATTTGTGGCACTTCTTTTTATCAAGAGGCATCTGGAGAGACTACAGCTACTCCTGACTGGCATGGAAGGTAAGGATGCGGTCATTTGTTGTTGTTGTTGATTCCTTTCTTAGAAACTTTCAGATCTTGGGTTAACTGTTCCCAAGGTTTAATGTTTAATTTTTGTCATTTTATTTCTTTATTTTTTAAAATTTTGTGATGTTGGATTTTGTTTTTCGGTATTATTGGATTTTATCTGAATAAGAATGGTATCCATACTTGCTGCCGCCTGGGCGGCCAGTCTGTATCTGCTGTGGGGAAAAAAAAAAAGGAAAACACAGGCATTTGTAGTCAAGGACAGATCTGGGTAAATAATACTTACCAACAAACCAGCTTTATGCCTGTGAAAAGTAAACATCCATTGACAGTGGGATGGAGTTATTTTTAGTGGCCTAGATTCAGATATTCTTATAGTCTAAACAACCACCAGAAGAATGCCAAGACCTCTTCCTTAGTCACAGCTTGTTTACACCTTTGAATCCCAAAGGGTAAAGCAAATGAGAGAGAAGATGCTATCCCCCATGCCAGGGAAAGAGACCGAGAGTTTTGGAAGCAAGCAGGGCTGAATATTTGTTTTCTTTTCCTTTTTCTTTCTTTTCCTCCTTCCTTCCCTCCTTATTTCCTTCCTTTCTTCTTTTTCTGCTTCCTTCCTTCCCTCCTTCCTTCTCTTCCTCTGTTCCTCTCCAGAAAAATGGACTTACATGGTCTAATTTTTAAATACATGATTTAAAAGTTCTAGCTTGAGAGCCACAGTCTTGAACTGTGGAATTGAAGGCTAGGAGTAAAAAACAATGAAAAAGCTATGCCAATTTAGGGGAAGTGTCAGAAGTGAAGACTGGTTGAATGCACTTGACAGACTACTTTTTGCTGTGGGGGTAACCTAGCATAGGGAGCATTGGGAAGAAACTTCGTACTCTAAAAAATCAGTGGGCTGGCATCTCTGTATTAAGAGAGCTGCATCTTAGAATACTTAATATCTCCTTCTAGCATGGGCTGGAAGAATGGCAAACTTTGTTTACAGTAAGTGCTTCTGATACTGAGTCTGTGAATGTGTGTGTGTGTGTGTGTGTGTGTGTGTGTGTGAGAGAGAGAGAGAGAGAGAGAGAGAGAGAGAGAGTGCCCCACCCAAGTGGGAATATCTGTTTAATTGCAATCTGGTTGTCCTGTTATTGGTTGGCCAGGACCTGTCCAAGCATAGAAAAACCTAATTTCAGGCTTAGCAGGCAATGAAGTTAATAATCAAACATGTTTTATTGAATTAAAAACAGTAAGATTCTTGGTAATTCATTTAAAAATATTTCTCAAGATTTTCTTCCCAGGAGAAAAATTTATGTATCTGCCAAATGGAATAAAGACCAGCTAGACTGCATTGGGTAAATGTACTCATTTTGTTGTCCTAAGGGAGACAGCACCAACACCACGAGTCCGGTTTTAATTTTGTTTGTGCCAATATAGAGCTGTACAGCCTGAGGCAAGCCTTTGTCTCACTGGTGCTTACTTCTGTCATGTATAAAATAAGAGGATGGGGCTAGATGACATCAAAAGCCCTTTCTGCAACTAACATTCTAACTAAAACCAATGTGTGAATGGGAGGAAGAAAAGCACAGAAAAAGAGAAAAAGAAGCCTGGAAGTCCAATTCTTGAGGAAGAGTTTTATGGAGAGAGGAAAGGAAGGGTACGTTGTTTGCCATTCTTGCCTTCCAGCTCTTTTCTGTGCCCTTTGGATGACATTACTAGAGAAAATCTAGTACAATGAAGCAGTGATCTCTTTATCACTTCTGCTCTCTGTCTCTTCTCTCTTTGTTTCCTGGGTTTCTCTATATGTCGCCCCCACCTCTACTCACCACCATCCCTAGCTCTCTCTCAGGAATGGGTATAGTAAGGATTTGTGAGGCATATGCAGGAATACTGATGAATGTTGGAAAAATATTTTTTTCTCGTTTTTTTTATCCTTTAATATCCCAGGATCTGTCACAGTGTTAATTTTCCGAACCATAAAACAGATACATATTTTCTTAGCTTGTGAATTGTCTGTTCATAATGTTGATAATTATGACACTAACCTTGAATACTTCTTGTGTACCAGGAATGATTTTTAATGCTTTGGGTCAAAAAGTTCATTTTTATGACAGTACTGTGAGGGGTAAAAAATATAATCATTGCCGTTTTTCACATGAGGTCATGGAGTCAGAATGCTTTAGTAATTTGCCCAAGTTTTCTAGCTAATTGTGGCAAGGTTGGGATTCAGTCTTGGGTGGTTATTTTCTAGTGTCATTGTGCTTAGGACCTGGGCTTGCTGCATTCCCCCTAAGTCAGCTATGATATGTTTTATTTATTTCATATCACTTTTAGATTGGTTTAGTGCCTAAGGGAAATAGATTTTGAATTGGTATGAAAGTGAATTAAAGATACTCTATTCTGTATGGACTAGATAGCTATCTGTGACTCGCCTGGGCTCATAATGTCCTCCAAATGTATCTGTTGACAAATAATAGAGTTAGTATTGCAAGTATTTCTATTCTTTCTGTATGAAACTTATTACTTAACTGTTTTCATTTAGGCATTTCAATTTTAATAAAGTTATGCTGCAATCAAATTGAATTTGTATAACCACTAAAATTATAGTATTATTTAAACAAACACACAGATATATGAACTAACTAGTAGTTGAAAAAGTAGCTAGCAACAAAGGGTCAATGGTGCACTTTAGTTATTAGGACAAAAGTGTCTTTAAGATTTTGCGCCTATTGTGCAGTTGACTTCTTTTGAGATATGTTAGGTTTTGCACTTATTAGCAAGTGAAGTTGATACAGACAAAAAAAATCTCAATACCTTCAGAATCCCAGGTTCAGTACTTCTACCTTACATGTGATATTAGAGGTGAAAGGCATTTGTTGTCACGGCACAATGTTGATGGCTTCTTAATGGGAGTTCTGTATCAGAGGGCACAGGGCATGTTGCTCATTATATCCTCACTTATCTGGGGTCATATTTCCAGTAACTCTGCTCAAATATTAGATGGTAGAAGGTTCCTGTTAGAAAGGTGCTTAGAGAAAATTTAATCCAGTTTTTTACTTTGCAGATTGAAAACTATAGCAGAAACAGAAATTATAAAATTTGCAGATTATTTACTGCTTCTTTATTTGGTGTGTACACTCACATACTCAGATGTATGCATGTACACATGTGTGTGTGTGTGTGTGTTTGTGTGTGTGTGTATTTTTTTCTCTGCTACTGGGAATTAAGCCCAAGGCCTCAGGCACACTAAGGAAGCATTGTACAATTGAGCTGCACGTCAGGCTCATATTTTTGAGAAGCCAATATATGTGAGCCTTTATGAAGAGAGTAGTCTTTATTAGTCTAGTGTCCTCCTTGAAATTCTTTACCAAATGTGTCAGGAGGGCACAGATGAGAAATACCTGAGGATGGTTGTTGGTAAACGAAAGAAGATAGTCATTTGACCTGGTGCACTTCTGCTGCCTCTTGCTTTTCTGGGTAAAAGTTGCTGACCACAGGAAGAACAAAGAGGAAAGACCACAACGTAGAAGACTGGCGAATCTAGTCGTTTGAAAAGAACAAAAACCAAGGCTTCAAGGAATTATTTGACGCCAGAGTTAAGTCTAAATTCATGTTGATAGTCACAAATCAACAGATTAAGGTTCTTTCTACTTCCTGTTTTAGTGTAACGGTTCAGTGTGTAACACATTTTTGCAAGCTTTTAAATATAAAGAATTTTGGGTTCCTAAAAGAATGAGCTTCATTTCTCTAGAATATTTAATGTCATTAAAATCTATCGAACAACTGTTGTACATAACAACTTATCTATAGACCATGAAGTTTGAGGTTGGTAGAGGGGAACTAGAATATCAATGTAAAATGTAATGTCAGTGTCAATGTAAGTCATTGTTTAGCTATTAGATTTTTTTTGGGGGGGGATCAGTTGTGGAGTTTGAACTTGGGGGCCTGGGCACTATCCCTCAATCTTTTGCTCAGAGTTAGTGTTCTACCACTTTGAGCCATAGCACCACTTTCAGTTTTTTTTGGTGGTTAATTGGACATAAGAGTCTCATGGACTTTCCTTCTCAGGCTGGTTTTGAACTGTGATCCTCAGGCTAAGGCCTCCTGAGTAGCTAGGATTATAGGCATGAGCCACTGGAACCTGTCTAGCCATTACATTTTACAACAGACTTTTGTGGTACTATTACTTATGTGGTGGTTTTATAAGGATCAAGGTAAAAGTAGGGTAGAGAGGTAGGGGAAATGAATAACCTACATAATTGTGTAACCTAGACTGAGTACCAAGTCTTTGACTTCATTTGATCCTGAATAGGTAGAACTTAGTATTACCTCATTTTACTCATAATGGAAATTTGGGATGAAGAGATGATGTGATTTCCCCATGACTATTCATCTGGCAAACAGCCAGACACAAATGAATATGTGTCTGTGCAATTCGTAAGCCACAACTGGCCCACTATGCCTGATAGAAGTGGCTTTTACTCTCTAGTTGACTCAGTGTCTAACTTTTTGCACATGGGCATTCATTCATTTACACATCCAGCACTTATTTGTAAAGCAACTTTATGCTAGATTCTGTAATCTAGCATACAATGAGAAAGAGTTGAATAATTAGAAAATGTGAATGATAAGATAATATGAGACATAATAAGGTTCTTGGCAAAGGCATATTTTTTAAGTTTTAGTTTACAGACTTATTAGAATACATTAAGATTGTATTGTAAGATTGTGCAATATATTAAGATTGTACTTTTTTATATATAATGATTTTTAGAACCATACATTAGCCATACGAACAAATTTAAATTATTTATACTTACTAAACTATTTGCATATTCTGTTTCCCTTTTGGGTTTTTGTTTTGGAGACAAGATCTTACCATGTAGCCCAAGCTGGCTTCAGATTTACTGTACCTCCTGCCTACTTCTAAGTGACAGGGGTACACCACCACACCTAGCTCTAAAATTGAATATTGTTTCTAAATGTTTGTCTACCGTTTTCAGGTAGTAGCT